GGGTGGGGGGTAAGTCACAGGAGCCCAGGCAGTGGGAGCAGGAAGAGGAGGCACAGCTGGAAGGCTCGGAGGCCCTGGGCTGCTCCTGGAGTTGTCAACCCACCACCTAGGCCTCTGCGTCCTCATCACCAAAACTCGGGGGAGGGTGGTGGAGGGGGCTAGGACCAGATAATCTTTCGGCACCTTCCAGCTCTAAGACGAGGCTGTGACTACGGACAAAATGCTTCTTTGAGATTAAGAAGGTGACACTGTGGTCCTGCTCAGCCCCCGGCCTGAGCCCTTGCCGGCACCTCGGCTACAGCCCACGAGGACAGACAGGCCGCTTACCAAGAGGGCCCCGCTGAGTCCCATCAGATGAGAAATGGCAGAGTTCAGAGAGAAGTCCTCCGTGAAGTGGGCGGTCACCTAGGGGTGAAAGTTGAATTATTCACTTTCTTCAGAACTCCTCCAAGCTTTCCACAAAGAAACAGGGCCTCATCCAAAAGTGTGAATTAAATGAATGCAACCATAGCTATTTACACGTGTTCACTGGCTCAACTCATCACGATAATGTTTCATCAGCACAGAGTGTTAAAACCATGTTGATGGTTCCTCTTCCCCCACAGCTGGGAGGTGCTGGTGCTCACGGCGGGTCCTTAAGAAAACGCGGGGAGCAGGAGGCAGGACCCCCGATGAGCACACACGGAAGCCAGAGTGGACAGGAGACGGGTAAAGGACGGCCCGTCCCCTCGGCTGCGCGGCTTCGATTCATAAGGAGGAGGATCAACGCGTGGACAAGGTTCGTCTTCCATTTTCCAACGTGCAGTCGACCTCAGAGGACGAATACGATTTGTCAGCTTTGCCCTGTGCGTGCTTTCCCATTCTGACCGTGGGCGAGGAGACAGAGAAAGAACACATCTTTAAGATGTCCAGAGTCCCCGCTGTGTTGAAATAACCCACTGCTATTCTCTGACAGGGCAGAAGGACTTGCCAGGCCCAGAGAGAAAGTATGTGGAATGAAAACAATCCCTCAGGCGCCACTCAGAGCACCAGCGCGCTCCCTGCCTCCGGTCTCCACGCCAGAGGACTGAGGGCAGAGGACGGAGGGCGGAAAGGAAGCCGAGGAGGTGTCCCCAAACGAGAGCAGGCTGCGCTCGGGGCCACGTCAGGTTACACAGCCAGAGAGGAACAACACCCTTCTTCAATGTCATCGGTTACCAGCATCCAGAAGTGACCGTGGCTGACTTTATACATTTGAATCAGCACATTAAAAAAACAACAACACAACCGAGGAGCATCTGGGGTCTCTGGTACCCGTTAAAAATGGCTTCAGAATTCCTAAATGCCTTCTTTCAGAGACTGACATTTTTTCACCAAGTTCTTAAAAGGCAAATGTCGCCCTGGTGGCCCAGGTGATTGGAGCATCATCTTCCACACCAACAGGTGGTGGGTTCAATTCCGGGTCAGGGCACATACCCAAGTTGTGGGTTAGATCCCCGGTTGGGGCACATACAGGTAACATCACTACTTCTCTCCCTCTGTCTCCCTCGCTCTCTAAAAATCAATTAAAAAAATATTCTCAGGTGAGGATAAAAAAAAGTTCCAACTTAAAAAAAAAAAGAAAAAAAAGGCAAATATCATTGTATTAGAGCAGATTCCTAGATTTAAAAAAAAAATTAAAGGTTTTTGTTATCGATGAAGAATATTTTTAAATGATTTAGACAATAATACACTATTCTCTAAGAATGTAACATGAATAAATCATTTATTTGCAAACATTAACCCACAATAACTCACACAGATACTGTGTAACAAAGTCACTGGCTGGGCACGTCCTGCACCAGGGAACTTGGATTCTAGTCTCTTGGCTCCTCACCAGCTGTGTGACTTTCCGAAAGACGCTTAACCTCTCTGTGCCTCGTCTCTATCCCCATCTGTAGAATGCGGATGCAAAAGAAGAGAGTCCTTCATGCCCTTTCACCTCTCAAATTCTGCTTCTGTTGCTCTAAGGTGTTAGTGTAATCAGCGTGATCCTGAGCTGGACTCTGCCCGCACATGTTAGGTATGGACACATGGAGACAGGGCAGCTCCCTGAGATCCGGGCCACCTCCACAAGAATGACTGCACTTTCGCTCCGCCTTGGCGAAATGTCAAAGCAGTAGATGGATTACTCAAGGCCAGTGGGGCCACCACAATGAAGAGGAAGACTCACGTGGGCCCACCGAGAGAAGGTGGCCACACAAACCTCAAGTGCCTGTTACAGAGTCGCCCAGTGTCCCCGGAAAGTGTCTGACCTGAGAGATGATCGTGTTCTTGAACGCCCAGAGCTTGCGGGCCTCGGCTTTCTCCTCGCTGCTCAGCCGCTGGGGCCTGGGAACCTCCCCGGAAGCCCTGGCCTCAATGAAGCGGGTTGCCAAGGACCACAGCCGCTGCTGCCATCTGAGCACGCCGGGCAGCGCGTCAGCTGCGGTGGTGTCGGTAGATGAGAGAGAAAGGGAGACACATGGGAATGACTGGGTTACCCCTGAGCCTCGAAAAGCACCTGTGAACTGAGGACACACTTGGCTGTGCCCCGTGGATGGATCCACGGGCAGGTGGATGGTCCTCCCTGGCCACCACTGTCTGGGAACTCAGACCAGGGCGATTCCATCAGATCTCAGCGACCCAGACGCTCTGAGCACCAGGCGGCAAGGCTGCTTAAAGTGCCGCCCATGACTGTCCCTGCCCTGGGAGCTAAGAAGCTCGGCCAGGATGTGCGCACTGCACACGGCCTGATGAAGTAAGTGCCTGTGGCACCAACAGGGAGCCTGGGGACACAGTCCCCTCTCACCTGGGCAGGTAACACTCAGGGCGGTGGTCTGCAGACAGCTGGGAGCCAACCGTGTACAGCATGAACTGTTTGCACACGACGTGTCCTTGCCAGACGTGTGGACTGCCTATGTCGTAACACTCAGGGCGGTGGTCTGCAGACAGCTGGGAGCCCATCGCGTACAGCACAGCTGTTTGCACACCACGTGTCCTTGCCAGACGTGTGGACTGACTATGTCAACCTTGCTCATCCAATCTGGGTGCTGATCTGATTTCCAGGAGAAGCTGAGCGCCTCATCCCGTCGCCCTGGATCAAGGGTCAGCCAGATGAAGGCCAGGCCAGTCTTTCCTCCTGGGCCACTGGACTAGGCGCTCCTAAGCCTGATGCACACAGACCTTGGGGAAGGCTCGCTAGGAGCAGCTGCCTGGAGGCTGCCTGCATGGGGGAGGGAGCAGAACTGCACCCCCAGGTCTGCACTTCCCGGGTTCTAAGGCTGCAGGCCCAGGACTGGCCCCTGTGATGGCTCCTCCGGCCACCCTGCTCACTAGACATGAGGTGGCAAACTAGGGGGTGGTCCAGGCATCTGCGTGCATCTTCCCGTCACACGCATGAGCAGATCACCGAGGAAGCGTGAATGGCCGCTGGACAGGGACCCAGGACACCCAGATTATTTTACATATTTATCATACATATTACTTGTAAGTATGTAATATGCATGCCACATACTCCCCATGTTAAATATGTAATGTGTGTATTAAAAACACTTATGCTATTTATAAGTATGTGATGTGTACATATAACAATATAATAAATCCAAGATTATTTCCTTTATGCCGTTGCAGATCTAAATGGCTTCGAGAGAGACTTCCCCAAGGGGGCTCTGGAGGCTGTGGCGACCGAAGAGAGGTCAGGTGACAGCAGGCCCAGGCCCAGGCCCAGGCTGGGTTTCTGGACTGATGAGGGTGATGGCACTTCTAGAAAAACCCTGTCAGGGCAGATCAGGGACCCAGGGGCAGCATGGAGGCCAGTGTGGCTCCAAGGAGACGTTCTCAAGGTGGGTCCTCGTGGAACCTGGGTCCATGGGCTTGTCGGAGGCAGGCTCCTGGGCCCGCCCTGGGGCCGTGGCGGCAGGGGTGAGGACGGGGAGCCCGTGATGCCAACGAGCTCCCGGGTGATTCCGAGGCTCATTCACCTGAGACACTGGGCTCCCAGGGCACCACCCTGGCTGATGCGGACAGACGGCCACTCGCTCCACGGAGCCCATCTCTAGACCCTTCTCCCACTGCCTTCAGCCAGGACAGCGGCGTCCCCGAATGCCTTCGGCATACAGGCTGATGACAAAGGGGGCCGAGCAGGAAGAGGCAGGCGACTTACTCTTGACGTCCCACAAGATATCCTTCTCTGGGGGGGCAGCGAAGAGGAGGTAGAGGCGGACCGTGTCGATGCCGTACTGCTGCACCACCTCCTCAGGGTCCACCCCATTGTGCTTGGACTTGCTCATCTTCTCCCACGTCACCTCCAGCTTCTCCTTTGTTTTTGCATGAACAGGGACAGAACCTAGATGCCAAAATAATACGTAGGTACGGCCTGTGCAACTCTGAACTGATTCTATGAAAATACATTCAATAAGAAAACAGTGGGTGAGCAGTTACAACTGCCCACGGGAACGCTGCTAATTCACTGAATAAGCCCCTCTCGCTCCATCCGCATTATATGACAAAAAATGTTTTTACGTGAATGAGGCTCACCTCCTACCACAAATCTTCCTTCATGAATATAATTTTTCCTCAACCACAAAATAAGACAAAGCAATCTCTCCTTTAATAAAAGTATGTACCAAAGAGGAAATGAGGAAGGATAAGAAGGACTCATAGGCATTGCTGTTTTCTTTGTGGATCTGGGGTTTCCTATGGGAGCTGGCGGTTGACCAGCGAGGCCTCAGAGCAGCACAGCGCCCTGCGTCTCGGTCACTGGCCTTTAGTCCAGGTCTTAGTCACCAATGATCTCACACTGTCAAGGCCACGGAGCTAACTCACTGGGCTCACACGAATGTGGTCCCTCGGTGCTGCCAGAGCCACGCCCTGTCCTTGCAAGTGTCTCCTTCCCACCCACACGCAGTGGCCCAGAGGATGCTGACAGAGGAGGCCTGAAATGGCCATGTTTGGAGGAGGCCGGGGCCAGGAAGGACATCTGACCAGGCTAAGCCTCTTTCTCAGGACCTGGAACTAGGAGACAGAAGCTCTATTTGGATGGCGTTGGGCACTTGCAGCCATAAAAACCTAGAGAGATGGGGCAAGACCTGGCACAGTGGCTCCCTAAGGTCACTTTGCAAACGGAAATTAGGGGCGAGCAGAATCCAAGCCTGGAAAACAGGACAGAGAGAAGCAGGAAGAGGAACCAGGGGCTGGAGGAGAGGGAGGAGAGAGGAGTGGCCTGGGGACGTCCCCCACGAGGTGGGGCTGCTGGTATTTCCTGCAGCTGCGCTGGGGTGATGCCCCCACATCCTTGTGCTAAAACTGTCAAATGCCCAAGGGACCGAAACATGTGCCTAAAAGCCAAGTCCACACTTCAGGAGAGGAACACACACTAAGTGGATGGAGGCCTACCCCGCTGACCCTCGGTTTCGCTCCCGGGGACAAGTCTCCGTGAGAAGGGAGAGATGTTCACAACACTGGCCTCGGAGCAGAGGGAGCTGTTGGGTGCAGGCTGTGCTGAGGCTCAGGGAACCACTGCCCCCCGGGGCCCCCCACCACTGCTCCGGGCTGTGCTCGCATATACAGCCCTGCTGTGCGAACCAGGAGAATCAGGAAAAAGGCATCTTTCTGGGCAGGGAAGCTGAGGAGTTAAAATGGCCCCTCCTGGCAGATGTGGCCCTGAGGTGCCTCGTCTGGTACGTGGCTGGCTGTCAGGCCTCGCTCACGCCCTCGGCTGGTGCCTTTGTGCCCTGACCGCTTCCCTCAGAGCTGGATTTGTGTGCCCCTGGTCCGTGCTGGAGAAACACTGCCAACTTCTGCTTCTCCAGCTCCTTTTTCTCCCACGGTGACCACTGCTAACCGGACATATGACCCCTTTGATTAGGTAACTCCTCTACTGCTTGGCGTGGGAGGCTGCCGACCATTTAAGGGGTGTTGGCTTCACCTAATCTCACCCATTATGCGCTGGTTTGCTAAAGAATTTCAGGGCCACAGTGCTGGGGGTTTCTCACAGCTGCCTCCGTGTCACCCCCTTCCGCATTTCTGAACATGTCGTTTACTTTGTGTGCTGGGTGCACAGGACATGTGCTCATCACGCCACCGAAGGAGCCGGTGGGAGACGCTCTCTGTGAGAAGAGTGAAGCACAGGGTGGAGGGAGAGGCTCAGGAGAGCGGGGGGAGTGGAGGGCTGTCCAGGGAATGAGGGAGGGCGTCCACCAGGCAGCGCTGGACCTGGACAGGTGGCTGCGGGGGCTGCGGGAGCAAGTAGAGAGGTGGCCCCCAGCTTCTCCAATGCGCCTTTAAACCATGTGGCAGAAACGCGGGGGGACCCCAGTCTCCTGGCTGGGAGCTGTCCCTGACAGGGGCTGTCAAACACGAACTGGGACAGGAGGCGGCGCCCGACTGGCTCCATGTTACATACGGATGAACACCCGCCAGTAGCTAACAGGCTGGATTGGATGGGGCCCGGCCGCCTTCAGAGGGCGGGCCCAGAGCCAGCTGAGGCTGAGACCAGGAGGCCACAGGCCCCGCTCCTGCTTCGCACCCAGCCAAGGCCTTTCTCAGTGACTCTCAGGCCTGGCCTCGGTCCTCTGCACCCACCTGGATGGGACCGGTTGGGCCATTCTTACCGGTGAGATCGACTTCCTCTCTCCGTAGATACTGACCAGATGGAAGGCGGAAGGTCTGCCCCTTGATAAGGCCTTGGGCCAGCAGCTTATGGAAAGGCTCTCTGCGAAAAGAGCAGGAGAAGAAGACTGGTGGGCGAGGTATTCAAAGCAGCCAGAGAACAGCAGTTGGAGAGAGAGGACAGCCCTCTCTGAAAACAGGTAGGCCGAGCACTGCCGCGTGTAAACCCACTTGAACAAATGGCTCCTTAGAAATTAGTGGCAAGAGCCCTGGCCACGGAGCTCAGTTGGTGAGAGCGTCGTCCCAATACGCCAAGGTTGCGGGTGCGATCTCCAGTCAGGGCACATACAGGAAGCAACCCGTGAGAGCGCAAAGAAGCGGAACAAGTCCATGTTCTTTTTCTCTCTCTCCTTTTCCTTCCTCTCTCTCTCTCAAAATACATAAATAAATAAATAATCAATAATACAATTAACATAAATAAATAAGCGGTAAAAACATTAAGTCAAACCATCAGGTACTAACTTCTTTGGAAGCCCTGGATTTGAGCCTCCATTCTGCTTCTCAAGGAATTCTACGAGCCAAGGCAATGTACTCGTTCTCAGCATCAGTGCTTATCGTAAAGGGAGGCAGTAGAAATCTGCCTCAAAGGGCCGTTAGGGAGATGAAATGGAATGATTGCGTGAAAACACTCGTAAGGTTTCCAGAACCACACGGAAGGGCCAGGAGGACACGGAGGTTCACACGGGCTGTTCACACACTTTCCCCTTAACCTTACATTCAGGGCCTGCGTTAGACATTTCTAACTCATACAAATTATACACGAATACACCCTTTCTGTTCATTAAACGCCACCCCCCCACCCCAGGCCTACTCCCCTCTGAGGAGGCAGTTATTCTTAATAGTTTGGTGAATATCCTGGAAAAGTCTGGAGACTTTTTCCAAAACCTTTTCCATGCAAACCTGTATATACACATATATGGTTGTAGAGACTTCTGGGTGGATTTAAATCATTGTGGTCATAGTGCACATTACTTTGTGGCATTTCGTTTAACAATACGAATGTCCTTTTTTCCACAGCAGTCCATATAGATCTGTATCATTTTTTATGTTATTTTTTTTGTTAATCCTCACCAGAGGATTTTTTCCCATTGATTTATTTTTTATTTTTATAGAGAGTGGAAAGAGGGGGTGGAGAGGGAAGAGAGAAAGAGAGACATATTGATTGGTTGCCTCCCCTACGTGCCTGACCAGGGCCAGGGATCGAACCTGTGACCCAGGTATGTGCCCTTGACAGGGAATTGAACCAGAGACCCTTCAGTGCATGGACCAATGCTCTAACCACTGAGGACACTGGTCAGGGTTAGGCACACCCATTCTTACTCACTATAGTTAAGACACAGTGTACTGGGATATATATATATATATATACCTTCAACACCATTGTACATTTGTCCACTTATAAGCACCACATCATGGAATCTCCTCTTTAAATGCTATGGTTATGCAGTTAATGTTTTCCAGGAATTAAAAAACTCTGGATGAGCAAAGCTCATAGTCCACGGCACTCAGTGGGGACACTGAGTGGGGAATGGCCTGAGATGCAGAAGGGACTCCTCAGTGAAATGATGTAAAGAATGAAATGTGGCCCTTAGTAGAGACAGTTCATAGATCTAAAGTTAAAAGCAAATCGATGTAGGAAATACCAAAGAAAGAACCCTTGACCTCCTGGCTGCAACAAAAAATGCATCAATGACATTGTTCACATAAAACCAGGTGGGTGGGTAACAGCCCTGAGGGACTAGGCCAAGGGAGAGGGAACACAACAGCTCGAAAGGTGAGAAAGGAGCCTAAACGTACACGGCTGCTCACCAACGGGCAGTAAGTCCTAGCAGGGCACTCCTCTCTGGGTCCATGGAAAAAACACGCACATCCTGTAGCCCTTCTCCCAAATCTAACATCGAAAGAAATCCTCCCATATCTTGGAGTTAAATTAAAGATGTTTATTCAGCGAATTACATCCCACAATGAACATCATGGCCCCTTTCCTGGGGGTTTTCCAGATTATATCAGCCTCTTCTGGTAGACTCCCATGTGTGCCCAGGTGGCAGACATGACTGCATGTAGACTCTCATGTGTGCCCAGAAGGTAGACATGATTGCATGTAGACTCCCATGTGTGTCCGGGAGGTAGACATGATTGCATATAGACTCCCACGTGTGCCTGGGAGGTAGACATGACTGCATGGAAAGCTACTCCACACTCAGGCAGACACACTTGAACTCTCTCCCTGCCTTCTGCCACTGGAGGCTATGTATGATACAGACTGCCAGTTGTCTACACAAGTGCCATTCTTCCCTTCTTTCTTATTAATG